TCAAATATTATTTTAATATTTTATTAACAATAAAAAAAAAGAATAATAATTATTAAATAAAATTATTACTTATTTTTGTTAATATGTTTATCTTTTGAAGACTTTGAAAAAAAGCATTTGCTATATTTACTCCTAAATGTGAGCCTATAAAACTAATAAAATCAAGAAGTACATCTTGAACTTTCCAATCAGTATCAATATAATGACATGTTATACCTAAAAAACTAATTATATTTGATAAAATACATCCATTTATAGTAAAATTTAATTTGCCTGGAATATTCTTTTAATTTAAAAATAATTTAAAACAAATTAAATTAAGTGTTTATTTTTATATTAATATAATAAAATAGTATTATTATTTTAAACAAATTTTTTAAAATTTTATTATTAACCTGTAAAATTATTTGAATTTTCTCTTGATATTCTTTAAATAATTTTAAATATTATTTTTAATTGTATCAGCTAATGGTAAACATATTATTGAATTATAATAATTTAATAAATCCTAAAATTCTGAATATTCAACTATTATAAATAGTTGATCATCTATTACAATCCATGTAGCTAATTTTTTATGAAAAGTTTTTTCAGAAAATATCTATAAAAAATGTCTAAATACTATAATTAAATTTGATTTATTAATAAAGAATAATAAAAATTTTATATATACTTACTATATTTGAATCTTTATTTAAAAATTTAATCATAAAATTTGCTTGTTTATTAATTGAAGAAGTTGTTTTATCTGGATGACTTTTAAGATGTTTGAATAAGTTTCCAGTTGAAGAATTTAAACTACTTATATTATATACACCTTTATCACAATATCGATATTTTGCTCTTAAAATTCCTTTATCATCTTTAAATTTATCAAAATGATTCTATACATCACTTCTCTTTTCTTTTAATATACTAGAGAAAGTAGAACTTAAGTTGTTATTGTCAAAATCTAATTCTATAATTTTATTAGTTGTTTATATTTTTCAGACATTATTTAGATATTTGTTAAAAGAAAAAATTTTACAAGAATTAATTAAAAAAAAAAATATCAAAAAAGTGAAACCTTACTGTAAAAAGATCTTAAACCTAATAAGGATAAATTTGAGCTAATATAATCCTTATGTCTATAGCCATTAACCTTTTATGCATTCTAACGCCTCATGTAGAGCTAAAAAAAATAAAAATAAAAAAATATTATTTCAAAAAAAAAATAAAAAAAAATTTAAAAATATAAAAATATAAATATAAATATAAAAAAACAAAAATAATTAAAATAAAAATAAAAAAATAAATAAAAAAAAATTAAAAAAAAATTAAATAACTGAAAAAAAAAAAGATTTAAAAACTGAAATAAATAAACTAAAAAAAAAGAAATAAATATATAACTAAAATATAAGTTAAACCGAAATTAAAAAAACTGAAAAAGTTAAATTGAAAAAAAAAAATAATTAAAAAAAAACTAACTGAAAATATAAGCTAAACTGAAAAAAATAAAATGATAAAATCTAACCGAAAACTGAAAATAAAAGCAAAATCAAATTTAAAAGCTAAACTAAAAAAAGAAAAAAATAATTAAAAAAAACTAATCAAAAATTAAAATTAAACTGAAAAAAAGCTAAACTAAAAAAAAGAAAAAAAATTTAATAAAACTAAACTGAAAACTAAATTTAAAAAAACTAAAAAATAACTGAAAACCGAATTAAAAACTGAAAAAAAAGCTAAATTAAAAAAAAGAAAAAAAAACCAACTGAAAATTGAAAATAAAAGCTAAACTGAATTTAAAAAAACTGAAAGAAAAGAAAGAAAAAATAATTAAAAACTGAAAAAAGTTAAATCGAAAAAAAACTAAATCAAAATAAAAAAGTAATAAAATTTAAGAAAACTAAACCAAAAAAAAAAAATAAATAAAAAATAAAAAAACTAAACTGAATTAGAAATTTGATTGATAAAATTAATCAAATTAATCAATTAATCAAAATCAATCAAAAATGATTTTTAAAAAAAAAAAATTCAAACCTCGCCTTTTTTCTTTTAACTAAGCAGTTATTTTTTTAAAATTCTACTTTTAATATTTGAATCTACTTTATTTATTGGTAAGTAAAAACTTTAAATATTCTTAATTAATTATTTTTTTACTTTTCTTTTGAACTGATTTTTGATTTTAGTTAGTTTCTTTTTGTATAGAAATTTTATTTTTGTCAAAAGAATAAATATTTTTTTTTTAATCAAAGTTCTAATTTCAGAACAATAAAAATTAATATTAATTATATTTTTTTAGCTAGATTTCATAGAAGCAAACAAAGATATGTATTAATATTTTAATTGCTTTAATTAATAATTTGTATCAGTTTTAATATTAATGCATGTATGCATTTATTATAGATTAAAATTGGTGTAACAAATTGTATATAAAATCATTTTTTTTAAAAAAAAAAAAAGAAAAAAATATTTTCTTTTTAAATTTTTTTCTATACTCAAACTATATTTTTCTGAATCATATATTTTCCTTTTATACAACTTTTACAATATCTTCTTTTAACAAAAAATTTGTAAAATTTTAAATGGATTTAGTCATGAATGTCATATAGTTTTGTTCGGAAATCAGATAGATTTGAAGTATGGTTAATTAGCAACCAAGTTACTGATTTAATAAATAATTACAATTCTTTAATCCTTTAAGTAAAATTAAACAAGAGCTCATAATCAAATTTCTAATTTGTGAAAAATCAATACTGGGATGTGAAGAACAAATGTGTTCAATTTTCTAAATTATAAGAATATACTTTTGAATATATAGATCAGTTACCATTAAGATTATATTATAAATCATATGATTTATAATATAATTTTATATCTATATGACTTTAAAGTCGTATATTTTCTTTCACATATACTTTTAGCATATGCTAACTTAGGTTTTATTAGGATTTAATAAATTTTAAATGTAATTTTAAATATTAATTATTTTTTTTATTTATTTAATTATTTTAATTTATTATTAATTTTAATAAAATCCTATATCTGTATTTGATAGATATATAACTAAGAATAAAAATAAAGATTTTTGTAAAGATTTATTTTTAAGTTGGCAAATTCAAATTAAAGTTCTTTCCAAAGATTTTGATAGAGTTACTAAAATAATATATGATTTTAATGTAAATCATAGATTAGATTTAACCAAAAAATATCTTCTATAAATTCATTACTTATGAAGATATTGAAAAAGAAAAGGACTTGATCATTATTAATGAAAATCAATCAGTTTTTTTAAAATGTGATAATAAAATTATTAGTGAAGTAATTCGTAATGTTGCAAATCATTTTGGACTTAAAATGAAATTTATGGTAGATTTTATTAGTGATAATCCATTTGCATCACTAAATGACTGCACCAGTTAATGCTACCAATGATCACTAAAAAAATTATGATCATTATTTTCACTAATTTCATTGCTATTACAGTTATCATTTTAATATTTATTTTCTTTTAGTT